CAATGATGCAAAGGCTGGAGAGCAGAAAGAAAATGAAGCAATACATATTTACCTCAGAGTGTTGTATAAAAAGATTAATTTTTGTTTTTTAATATCTGGGCAGTATAAATTAAAAGCAGACTATCCAGCAATGAATTTATGGCATCTGAAACTCTTCCGAGCCCTAGGAAAACATATAGCTCTGCCCTTTGGTCTTCTTTTCACTCTGCCTGGGTAACCTCACTTTATGAGGCAGCATAATTTGCAGTGACCTTTTCTGAAGCTGTTGATACAGTTCTTGCCTTGCTGGAAACCACCTTTTTAGCCATGCATGATATGACTCCACATACATTGGCATATAAATTTCATGCTTTGTCATTTAAGCCTGCAAAATAATCCTGTGCTGTAGGTGGCTGTACCAATACAGGATGGTATTTGTTCTGCTGGGCAGTGCTGAAGGATGGTTTTTGGAGGCTGGTGGGCTCTTGTTGCACCACAGATAAATGCGTGGAATCAGTGAGGGAGCATCATATTTTATAATTATTAATCTGCCTCTTACTTGTACATAGGAATGATCATGCAATTTTATAAAAGGATTTTCAGACTTACTCCACATGTGTGTATTAAAGGCTACCTCTGTAGCAATATATCTAAAGCCTTATTCCAATTTAAACATTTACTGAGTTGTTAAATATGGGTTTTGCCACATATAAAATGGGAAAAGTATATATTCTCATATAATTACAAGCCCTTCTAGAGATAGAGTTTTCCTTCATCTGTAACTATTTCAAGATTTCAGCTCCCAAATGTGAGAATGGCAGAAGAACATGTGACACAATAATACACGTTTCCTTAATATTTTATGAATTATTATATATTTTTATTTTTATATAATTATTTTCATGAATACTAATTAGAACTGTGCTGGGCAGTTCAAAACACTCCTTGAATTACTCAAGAACTGCTGTCTGGAGACTGTGCAGCAAATTTACCCTTGAAAATTGGTGAAATCAAATAATTTTCTCTTCCTTCCCTTTCCCCTTCCCTCCTTCCTTGCCTCCTTCCTTCCTTCCTCCCTCCCTCCCTCCCTCCTTCTTTCTTTCCATCTTTCATGTGATGAAGATCTTTGAGGCTTTTTTCTTTAAGGAAACAAGCTGACGTATCAATGATTTTTCTACTTGAAGAACTTATATGCTGTGTTATGTTTTTTCAAGTAATGTGTTGACCTAGTGAAGTAAATAATAAGTCCAAATCCCTCCAAAATCAATGTAATATTTTTTAGATTTCTTCTCCTTCGCTGATTTAAAATTATTAACTGAAACATCTGGTTTCCTGAAGCTACCTGTACCATAACAAGAAATTATGTCATTTATGTTCCAAAAAGTTTAAACAGCAGAATGCATATTCTTATAGTAAAATGACTAGAAAGTGTTCTTTGTGTTGACAAAAAAGAGGATTTTCATGGAAATGAGAAAAAAGTATGGAGAAAATATTGGCAAATTGGCCAAAATAAAAAGTTGGCATATTTTTCATCCCAATTAATAATCTTTTAAATCTAAATTTCAAGATGTTTCAATTGGACTCTGTTGGAAAACTGTTTTGAAATGCCCCTTCAGTCCACATCCTGGAAACTTTCCACATCTTGGAAACTTTCCACATCTTGGAAATTGGTCTTTGTAGGTTCTTGCTGCTTTGCTCATGTAAGGGACTGGTGTTTCTGGTCAGGTGACATGCTGGGACAAGGCAATGTATTTGGGAATTTACCAATGGCATTAAGAATCTGGCCCATGTGCCAGAGCTGAGTAGCCTCAGAGCAGTAGGTACAAGACATTTCAGTCAGGTATTAGTGCAATACTTAAGAAGATTTTTTTTTCCTTTCAGTCAAAGGCTGAATCACTAACTTTGGTTAGGCCAAAAGCCTGAAGCCTTCCAGTTTTCAAAAGCTTTGCTTATTGACTAGACTTTAAATTTTACACAGAATGCAGCTTTCTTTTCACTTTAAAATAAGAGGTGGAGCCTTTTCACCAGATCTGATCAAATGTACAACCAGTGTAGTTGATGACAGCTGAAAAGCAAATTCTATAGCCCTATTGTATATTACATTTATCCCAACCAACTTGACCCCTGACTATATTCTTTCTACTTCGTTCTTTTTTGCCCTTTCTTTTGTCCACCTCAAGAGTTTTTCTAAGCACCTTGAGAGCTTCTCTGAGTGACAGCCATAGAAAAGCCACTGTGCAAGAAAAGGATCCTTTCCACGAGTGGATCCCACATTTTCTAGTCTTTTAGAACACTACCACCACCAAAAATAATAGATGGATCAAAAGTTATGCTGCTGTGAGGCTTAGGATGAGAAAACTTCAGTGCTTCTTAGGACAAGAATAATATTCTGCATACAGTTCTCTGAAAGGTTATAAAATTTTATCATTTGATCACTTGTATCACTTGATACACACAGAAGTGGTACTGTTGTCATATATTATGAGATATGACTAGAGGCCCTGCAGCCTTTCAGTTCCTTTTTTCCCTGTCAACTGCACAGCTAATATCAGATGACAACGCTGAGATCCACCAATTCTTTTCTAATGCCCTGCTCAAAACTAGAGCTGGCACGTGACATTACACATTCTATTTTCCTCCTGAGCCTTTGCTTGCTTCTTCTATCATGCTCCTACTCAGATGCAAATACATATGCCATTATTTGCCTTTCATGCATATTTCTATACAATAACAGCGGTATACAGTCTTTTCTTTTTACAGGAAGAATTCAGAACACTACCCTCATTTATGAGAGATAATTTTCTATGTCTCTGAGAAAGGTATTTGCAGGGCCCTTGACTGAGGAATGAAAAAAAAAAAAAAAACTAAAGCAGATCAGTAGAAATTATTTTCTTAATGGCAAAATCTGAATTATACATTAAAGCACCATTTATTCAATCAATTTTATTATTCCGTTTAAAAAGGCAGTCACTTTTATGTGTTTCATATGCTTGCAGAGGTTTATTAGCCTGAGTAAAAGGTCATTATTATTCAATTGAATAATTTACTTTTAAATTATTGGTATTGCACTTCATATTATAACTGCTTTTGCAGATGCATTTGATTATGTCCAAATTTGCCTTTTAATCCTCTGTCTGGAGATAATTTTCTTGAATCGTTCAGTGTTTCTCACCCTTGTAGTGGTATCCTAATGAACACACAGGCTGTAGCCTCATATCTTCCATGTAAATTACTGTGCATAGCTCTTCTAGTCAGATCATATCAGGGGCTATCTGGTGTCATATAATCCTGGGTACTGACATGTGGAAAATCTTTTCAGGTGATTAATGCCATAGGCATCTAATTTTCCAGCAAAGCAATATTGCAGTGTTTACATGCATGCCAGACTTAGGAATATGAAATAGGCATTTAGAAAAGTTAATAATCTGCCCCTAATCCCCTCCAAGAATTATCTGTTGGCATTTCTAAAAATAATTGCAGCTTTATTGCTTGTCGCTAATGGAATCACATATTAATTTATTACATGCGTTGTTCATTAAAAACTTGGAGTTTTCCATTGGTGAAATAAATATATGTAAAGCTACACATAAAATACCTTTGCATTTAAAACATGCACTAAGTTATAAAAATTCACAAAATATTTGTTTTATTGCTTTGTTTTCTTAATGCTTGAGCAAAAATATCCTTCAAAATTGTTTCATGTTTGCTAGAGACATAAGATTTGTCCTTGACTGCACACTTGGAGACTTTGATTTCTGGGCCTAACACTTAAATTCTCAATTAAGATAACAAATCATAGCAAAACAATCCAACACAATAAAATATCAGGGCAGGCAGACCCAGTGTGGGTCTGTGAGCACCAATTCCTCATTGCTGGCATTCAATATCACACCAGCAATGTCAGTGTGACCAAAGGTGCTGCGTTTACTCACATGTACCTATGAATTACAAAATTGTCTGCTGTTATTGGGCTGCTCCTACCTCTGCTGAGGAGTTTTTCCCTCAGCCAGGCATTGTCCATCAACTTCATTAGAAGCAGGATCAGCCTTTCACAGCCTTTCCTAATTTTGAAAAAATAAAATTTTAGAAAATAATCTATTCCTGAGATTTGACATAGGAAGCACTTTGAAAATGGCTTTGAATACTCATAATTAGCTCAAGAGTTACAATTTCATTCCACTCTTACACTGCCATTACAAGCATTTATCTCAACTGATTTCAAGAGAGCTGCTTCTGTTTTACACTGGTGTGAGGGAACAAAAAACCCCATGTTGCATAGATTGTTATCAGCTCGTTCATACTGCCTCTATTACCAGATAAAACTTGATGAAGGACATTCACAGATGATCAATATGAGAAACCACATAAGACCTGACTTTTATACTACTGGCTGATACTGAAAATCCCAGAAATAATTATTTCTATATGTTTTTGAAGCTCTTACTTAAGGTGATGACTGAGTTGATGCTGCTTTTCCTGAAAGAAATATTTCACCTTTAGGAGATGTGCTGCCTCCTGAAGTTACTTCATAGCTTAGATTGCAGGGATATGGGAAAGGAGAGCAGTTGTACGTCAAGCAATGAGCAACTCCATCCTTTTTGTGAAAGAAGAAGCCACAGTCCTTTCTCTGCTTTGTGCAGAGGCTGCTCCCAGCTGATGTGAAGCACTGCTGTATGCATCCTAGAAGGCTCTATGTGAAGGGCTGCTTATCTCACCAGGGGAAGTAGGAGCTCTGGGGATGTTTGGGATCTACTTCCAAAGAACTGGCAAATTGCCTCGTCACTGGCAATCTCTACATGTAATTTATACAGGCCAGAGCACAGCTGTGGGTTAAACAAGAAGCGGTATTGAACTGACCAGTAATATATTGTCTGTGAGCTAATATAGCTCAGGATATTTTCACTGCCAAAAGCAAACATTTTCCTTGAGATTCACTTGGACAGCAGTGTTTGTTTATGTCATGGTTTACCTGTGTATGAAGAAGTGAGCAGGAGTAGAAATGCAACTGCAATCACAGAGAGAAAGTCTAAATTATATTAATATTTCTTCAGCCTAATAGCTGTCAAATATACATTTCTGCATGTCTGGCAGTCTGCTTTAATTTGTTTCTGTCAAATGAAGAGCAAACATTTTATCACAACTGAATTGTATTTTTTTTCAATAAAAACCCCCAAGTACCACAACGGTGAAGGTTACAGAGGTGGCTATTTTTAGAAAGTTTGCTCTTCCCACACTTAATCAAGACCATCATACTTTACTTGCTTTCCTCCAACTGTTACTAAAGCCACCCGTAGCCTTCAAAATCCGAGCACTATGAAGTGGAGATGCCTGTGCAGGAAAGCTCTCCGATGCAATTGAGTCCCGATGACAGCTTAATGACAAGCTCAGCGGAAGCTCAGTTGTGCTCCTTTTTGTCCCTGAGGTAGTTGAAGAGGACATCCAGCCCCCCCTCGACAACCTCAGGCAGGGGCCGGGCCAAGGGGTTGTGGGCGATGTGGAGGCCTTTGTCCATGGGGTTCCAGGCAATGCGGCGCAGGCGGCGCAGCAGGTACAGCTCATCTGGCAGGGTCTGTATGGCGTTGTAATCGGCGTTCAGGAGCTCCAGAGTGCTGATGTGGCACAGAGACCGCGGCAGACTGCGTATGTTGTTATTTTCCACAATCAAGATTTGCAGATTGACCAGATACTGGATGCTCTCTGCGATGTTTTCCAGCTTGTTGGACCCTAGGTGCAAGAAGTCTAAGCTTCTCAGGGCAAAAATGCAGAGGGGAATTTGCACAAAGCGATTGTTACTGAGGTTCAGTTTCCTCAAACTCGTCAGGTCAGTGAAGCTCAAAGGCAGTTGTGAGATGCAGTTGTGCGAGAGGCTCAGAACCTCCAGCTTCCTGCACAAGCTGAGCTCTGCTGGCACTTCTTTCAGGCAATTCATATTGACGAACAAGACCTTCAGGTTCCTCAGCAGCCCAATCTCCTTAGGTAGGCACTTGAGGCAGTTGCCGCCCAAGTTCAGGACTACCAGCCTGTCCAGCTTCCCCAGTGAAGGAGGAATCACCACCAGCTGGTTGCGTGAAAGGTTCAGCTTCTGCACCTCATGCAGTCCCCACAAAAAGTCAGGTGTGCTGGTCATCCCTTTCATTATCAGGCTCAAGCTGACATAACGCAATCCCCGTTTCAGCAGAGACTTGGGCTCTCTTCCTGCCAGAAGGGCATCTTCCCATGCAGGCAGCTTTGGGCCTTTCCTAAGGAAAACCATGCTCCTTCGCTCCTTGCTCTTTGAGTGCTCAGTTCCCATAACACTCTGGTTCACTCCTGAGAGAACTGAGGTTTTATTCCCTTGCAATATGCAAATACCAACAGAGGATGACAGCCTGCAGGAGGTGGGAAAGTCAAAGCAAGGAGACAGGGAGGAGCCTGTGAAGTGCATCTCAGTCCACCGGAACAGTTTCCATAGCTGCTGAGGGAAAGTTTCACTTTTGGGGGCTTATGCTGATCTTGGTGCACAGTCTGTAATGAAACACTTGCTCCTGACTTGTGAGCAAACCTGTTCAATTCAAACTGAATGCCACAAGACAGCTGTCGCTGTCATTTGGCCTGGGCTTTATTGGACAGACGTGTATCTTCATTGCGAAAAGGTCACAAGGATGCTGCTGTATATAACTTCACCATGTCAGCTTTCTTGGCTATCTGGTACATACCATGACTGCAGGACAATTAGCAAGAGTGATTTAAAAAAAAAAAACAAACAAGCAAGCTAAAGAAGGAAACAAGCAAAGAAGTCATCATTTCAGTTCAGATTTAAAGGATGTTTTCCTAACCACGTTTAATTTGGTTCCTGATTTCTCTGAAGTAGTTACCAGTCTACCAGAAAAATTTACATGCTGCAAAAACACTGATAAAAACTTTTTATGTTGGTCCTTGGTTTCTGCTAAGTTAAACAAAAATAATATTGACAAAAATATTTTATATGTCCTTTGTAGTGAGGATTGGCCTCTTTCTTTCCAGAAAGGGTGCCAAATTCACTGCAGCAGTGACATTTTGCCCAGTAGTATCTGTGCCCACTTGGATAATTTCTTGCTACCCACAGTACCAAGTGTGAGCAGTCATACCACACAGTTCTAACCAAATTACTCTGTCCTAAATGTCCTGTTCTACTTTCACATCTATCAACCAGATTTTTGGAGTCTGATTCTTTTCTACTCTAGAAAATGGAGCTTCTTGATGTCCCTTTCCATGTGAACTTTCAGGTTTTCCTGGGCTATTCCTGGGGTACAGGGGAACTGGCAGTCAAATAGCTTGAACTATAAGTGACATTTAGATCCAATATAGAGGGACTGGTGGAAGAGGAAAGGAGCAGTGAGGTATAATAATACCCAACAACAGCTGATGTGAGCTCTGCTGGCAAAAGGAAATTGTATTGCTACAGGAATACGTATGCACTAAATTTAAACTCAAAGGGACCATAAAAAGGATCTGCAAAAACTTCAGGTATCATCCAACCTAGGTGAAAATTGCAACAAACAGTGCAAGGCTTTCAGGGCTTTTTCTCTCCATTGAATCTATGGTGATGAAGATGTGTTGCTGCCTTCTGAGAGATTTGGTGATAAAAGTATCCTCCCTTGCTATCTCATTTCAGGGATCCTCACCTTAAAACCTGGTGTTAGTACCGATGCTAAAGGATTATGCAGAAAACTGCAGCTGGATTTTGAAGCACTCTAGCAACCACTTTGAAGTCAATCCCTACAGCCCCTTCTTACTGCCAAGAACCACGCAATCTCCTTTGAGCTTTGGGTCCCTCACAGAGTTGCAGCTGCTTGGGAAGAGAGGGAAGAGAGGGGGCATTCCTGCAGTTGTGTGTGATGAGCGGGGTCCTGCACCAGTCAGGACCACAGCAGGCAGTGCAAGGCACATTAGCTGAGTGAGACATGCAATTAAAACCTGTGTTTGAACAGGGCTGAGTGGCATAAATCCAGCTGGTGCTGAGGCTGAAATATTGCATTCTCTGGAGTGCCTGGGTGAGCCTGAAAAAGGCTGAAGCCAGTTGTATCTGGTTAGAGTGAGTTGGCAGCCTGTGAGTCACCGATCCCTCCCTCACAAGTGCTTTTTGCCAGTATTTGTCAGTTTACATACAAATGTTATACTAATTGCCATCGCAGCCGTACTGACTCAGTGTTCTTGTTAACCATCATCCCCACACGCTGCCCAGAGTGCCAGAGATTACCCTGATGCTGCAGGCAGAGGAGATGCTCTGGGGAAGAGGAAACCCAATGGCATGGGCAAGACTGGGCCTTGCATGATGGGGACTTAAAATGTGGCACTTCATCCCAAACAGGTGGAGAAGGGGAAGCATGAGCCCCTCATGAGCTCTGCCTTTGTATTGTCTGCCCAGCTGCTGTTCAAAATGCACTTATTATCAGGGAGCATCCATGGATTTGAACATGGCATTTTGCTTCTGCAGTGGCAAAGGCAAAGGGAAGAAAAAGGCTTTTTTTAGAGAGCATTGGTAAAATTAGTCATTTCCCTTCTTTTAGTCTCAGTTCTGACACAAGGAATCTGCTTTAGGGAATCTACCAGAGGCTGGCTTTGCTCCCTGTGGCTGGGCTCTCACCTGTGACCATGGCCCCATGGTCACTTCAGAACTCTTTCTTCTGATGGTCACTTTTAGTGACAAGTGAAAACAAAACAAAAGGAAGCACAGTCTCCCTGTAGCCGTTTCTTCCCCCCATGGCTGGGCAGATATTTTTGGATGAGAACATTGTCCCCATCTCCAAAACACACTGGAGTTTACTGCCTGGAGACTTGGCAGCGCCAGCTGTGGCTTCTCACCACAGAATTCCTCATTTCCTAACAGTGTGACTCAGCCAAAATTCTCTGTCTGTATCCTTCCTGGCTTTGCATCACACTGTCCATTTGAAACCAGGCCTGTGATACAGCCCAGCAGTGCCTGGGCTGGGCTGTTTTTGGAAGGCTTCACTGGGGGATCTCTATCAAAGAGAAATGCTTGTTCTGCTTCAGCCTCACAGCATCTCCTGCTGTATCTCCACTGCCTGCCAGACATCAAGCAGAAGTAAAGGGGATTTTTAAAAGAAATTCCACATCTGCAGCTCTCATTGTCCAGTTCCCTTCCTGCCTCTGGTGAGTTTCATAACCACTGTGAAAAAAAAAAAAAAAAAAAAAAAAAAAAACCCACCCCCCCCCCAAAAAAAAAAAAAGCCAAACAAAACAAAACCAAATCAAAACAAAAAAATAAAAGACAAACCATTTCCTAGTCTTTGTTCTCCAACAGAAAAACAGGCTATTGAGTATGCTTGCTGTTGTGGAGACAGGAAACTCTGAGGTAACCAAATTAAATTTTTCTTTCAATTGAGATACTAAAACCACAGTGGCCTCATCTGGACATCTCAGGAACTAAAATTCTCTACAAAAATAGTCCCTGGTCCCTTAGTGTCCTGGACTGGCTTTGTTAAAAACAGTTTTCTGTTATTTTTTTTCTGTGCTGCCTGCTGCCGTGCCCTGGCCCTTGCCATGCTATGCTGGATCCATTCCTTTGGAATGCTCTTAGGCAGCAGTGACCTGTGCCCACATAGCCTGGCAGGAAGCAGAAATTAATTTCATGCATGCAGGTTTGGAAGCCTGAATTGGTGGGCTTTACATGACAGAGTGTACTTGATAATCACTTTGTAGATTAAACAAAAATGCATTCAAGGGAAAAAAATAACTGAAAGCCTGTTGGAGAATTTTGTAGTCTAACTAATATAATATAATAAACTGCATTATTAGCAATGATAAAAAACTGGTAAGCTGACAAAAATGACAAGCTATATTTTCTGACATTCTTTGACAATGCAAATTATTAGAGTCTTTTTTTCTTAAGGAATCAGGATTGTCAGCCCTAAAAAAATCTGAAGATGAGCTCACAAAAGACCTGGAATTTGAAAGTCTATTATCTATGGGATCTTTTATTTGTCTTCAGGTTTTGAGTCTGTAGAACGCACTTGGGATACATTTTCTAGCTTTTTTTCTGCATCCAGGCAGGACTTGCCAGAAAATCAATTGCATTGGTTTTAAGTAAAAGTTGAGATCATCACATAATTATTTTTCCATAGGATTTGAGCTTTTAATTAAGTATCTGATAGTATCAGGCATTTAATGAAACCATAGCAATTTTGACACACTGAGTTTAAATTTTGTTTTGCTCCAAAATTGATCCTGTCATCGTCTTTTAAATTGTTTAGCTTACAATAGATACTTATAGTTTCATTATGATATATGTATAGGTTCATAATTTATTTTGAAACAAGTTTTATGTTCTCTGTGGAATCAAAACCTTATATAGTTCCTCTGTCTCAGTATTTTTACAAATGTATTAATATAAGAAGAAATCCTTTAAAACTTTAAGCATAACAATTTCTGAAATGCTGGGAAATTCAACCCACACTCTTTTGGAAGAAATTTTCATTTCATTCATTATCTCAGTCTTAATAAACACCTGTTTAAATAAGTATGCAGAAACTACCTAATACTTCCTGTGACAGGAAGGATGATTTGCCTAAAAAGGGTTAACTCATTTCAAGTTCAGCAGAAAAGAAGCAGTGCTGGAGAAATATTCATTGCAACTACAGCTGCAGCTACTGAACCATCTTCTCCTTTGCTATTTATTTCCCCTAAAACATAGTTAATAAAGGATTTTAAAAGCACCAGTGCAATTCAGATTGTCAGGGAAATCCTCTGGTCTTAGTGCTACGAAAGCAAATTTTGTAGGTTTTTAACTATGTTGTTGTGGCTTGTTGATCTTGCAGCTATTGTGAAATACTAAGTCAAATTTTAATAGTAATTTGAGATTTATGAGATGTGACACAAGACAGAAACAATTCTTAAGGCAATTTCAGATTTCCTGTTAATTTGTTTTTAATTATGGTGCTGTTAACAGCTTTTAATGACTATCAGTCCCTGGAGCTTTCTTGAAATGTTTCATTAAGGTCCCATGTGGAGCTGCTGGATTGCCTGACCCATGAAGAATTGGACCTGGAGGTGAATGACTGCCTGTACAGGGGCTCATTTTTCTTTAGACCTCTTGACAGAAGACAAGTTTAAACTAAACCTAGTATGAAATAAAAAGAAAGAGATTTGGGGCTATGTGTATGTGTAGCCTAGAAATGACAGGCTCTTCCTCCTGGTAGTGAGGGACAGCAGCAATTCTTATATGACATGGAATTAGAGGAAGCTTTATTCCTTTTTTGCAAACTTGCCATAGTATTTTGAAATTTCAGCAAATACACAGATGACTGTTTTGGCACCTCCTACTTCTGCCACAGTTTCCCTGTGTGTACATAAGCCAAACAGCTGGTCTGCCTTCTATATTACATATAAGCAACCCCTGATCCTGCACTGTGCCATTATCCATGTTCTCCAGGGCACTGTTTCATC